AATGCAGGAGAAAAGTAACAAATGCAGGAGAAAAGTAACAAATGCAGATACAATGTAACAAATGCAGGTGAAGACTGTGAGAAAGTGGAAGGCTTGCATGCATTTTTCACATGAGGCTATGCAGCTGGTTCAGAAAGCAGGTCTCTGATAACACTAAAGCTAGAGTCTGCAGAGACACCTGGGCACAAGGGTGTGGGAGCCATCAGGAAACTCAAGCCCAGAGTTACCTGACACATCTCAATGACAGTGCAGATTTGCCTGAGGAGTCAGGAGGGCACTTAAGGCCTGGAATAGCAAGAGGGATTAAAACCCCTGCATGTATGCAACACGTTTCCTTGTCTGACCTTATTGGGAGAGGATGCACCTAATCCTGTAGAGATTTAATGCTCCAGGGAAGTGGGGAGGATGCAAGAATGGGGTATCCTTTCAGAGTCTAATGGGAGAAGGGAAGGGGAGAAGAACTTTGCAAGGGAGGATCTGGAAGGGGGCAACATTTGGGATGTAAATAAATAAAATAATTAATAAAAAAAAACTAAAGTGGGCTGCAAGAGCCACCAGTGAATCAGAAGAAACTAGGTGCCATTTCAAAAGATGTCCTGTGAATGCATTAAAAGTCTCTTAAGTTAAAACCTGATGACTTCAGGTTTGAAAAGGACAGAGGCAGGAAGATCGCTGATAATTGATGGCTTCCAGATAAAATAAAATAAAATAAAATTAAATTAAATTAGTAAAGAGATCAGAATATCTCGAGACACACACAAGTTAGGCAACTTGCAACAAATCAGTAGTATAGAAATTCTCAAACAAATGCTGTACACAGAGGAAGAAGAAAGTTTTATATACAAGACTATGGTATAGTGCCTGAAAGCAGTAGGTCAAAGGAGGACAACAGAGGAGGAGCCAGTCATACCCACATAGCAAACCACAAACACCCAGCACCACTATGAGGACAAAAGGATATGACTGACTTAAATTAGCCATCAGCCAGGACAACCAAAACTAAATCACAAGCAACAGAAAACCCTCCTCGCTCACAATAGTGAGCTCAGTGGCCTAAGCTCACCAATTTAAGGAAACACACTGGCGGACTGGATTTAAACAAACAACAAAACACTGATCCATTTGTGTGCTGACTCCAAGCAAACACCGATAGACTGAGTGTCAAAGGTTAGAAAGCAATCTATAAAGTGGCATGAAGCCATAAACAAGTTGGCATAGCAATGATCATCTCTGATAACGAAGATTTAAACTCCTAATTGAATCAGAAAAGATAAAGAACACAACTACATATTGGTAAAGGAACAATTCATTAAAGTACATAGCTTTGTAAATATTTATATACCGACCCTTGCTCTCAGTGATATAGAAAAACCTTTAAGGAAAAAATGACCACATACACGAAAATGACCACATACACACAAACTCGATAATCTTGGGGGACTTCAGTAGTCTACAGATCTACAGATCCTTTAAATCAAAACCAGAAAAGGAATGTTGGAGCTAGATCACACCGAAGATAGATTGGCTGGAACAGCTAAAAGGGACAAAGATAAGACAGGACAAAGTTATCTATTTTTATCTGCATATGACACGGTTTCATACTGAAAAGATTTCATGGCATTCACCTTTAAAAAGAAAACAAAACCTACTGGATCTGATAAATACTTTCAGTAAGTAACAAGATACAAAGGCAACATATAAAAATCCAGTACCTTTATCTTCACCAACAGTGAAAAGAGATTGAGAAAAATACCCCATTCATCATAGCCTCAAAAATCCCTAGGGCTAAACCTAACCAAGGAGGTGAAAGGCTTCTTTCTATAGGAGAAGCCTCAAGACATTAAATGAAATAAGTGGAGGAAAACATTGGTAATGCAAAGACTGTCTGTGCTCCTTGAGCAGTGTAATTAATGTTGTGAACACGGCTATAGTCTCAAGAGCAATCTACAGATCCGGTGGGATACTGATCAAACTACAGTGACATTTCCCACAGAACTAAAGTACAGTCCTCATGCTTGTATGGAAGCACAGACAGACAGACAGACACACACACACACAACCTATGAGTAGCCAAAGAAATTTTAAGCATAAAGACTACAGTTAGAGAGACACATTATATTACTTGACCTGTAATTATACTTCAGAGCCACAGTAATAAAGACAGCACGTTCCAGGGAAGGCTAATGTTAGACGGGAGACAAACTCACAAAGCTATGGACACCGAATCTTACCAGGGGCATCAAAAAACCAAAAAAGAAAAAAAATGGTCTTTAAGAAATGGTACTGGCAAAATTGGATATACATCCTCAGAGGAATGAAAATAAATCTGTATCTCTTACACAAGGCACACGTCAACTCGAATTGGATCAAAGACCTTGATTTAAAACTGGAAATGCATCTTGAAAGTGTCAGAAGGCCTTGATGATAATGGACTGAACCTGTAAGCCAGTGCCAATGAAATGTTGTCCTTTATAAGACTTGCCTTGGTCATGGTGTCTGTTCACAGCAGTAAAACCCAAACCATGACAGTCATGGTCTTCATAACAGCAACAGAGATGCAAAAGGACAAGGACACAGATACCCATGTCTTAAGTGATCATCACCGATATCACTTAAGACACACTCTTGTAGGCAAGATGACTCCTGGTGTTACGTCACTGTGGCTGACCATAGATCCTTCACAGTCTAACACATGTTCGTGGCTTCTTTGTACCTCCAGTTGGCTCACCAACACCATTATCCCCTTCCATCTCCAGGAGCCCTCCATTTTGGGATGCACATCCTGTGAGGACTTCTTAAGTTGTTATTCTTCAGCCATTGCACTTTGGAGACTAAGCTCTAGCTGTCAGACTTGGAGGGGAACTGGGTACCTTTATTGTGGAACATGGAAGCACATGGCTCCTGACACCCCTGGTCCTCTTTCTCTCCAAACTGTCTTTCTCTGCCAGCTATTTCAGGGCTCTCTCCCTAAGGATAACTTACAATTTCATTCATCTGTAAGCAGATGTTTATGTTACCCTAATCTGGCAGCTGATTTGCTTGTAACAATGATTCACCTCAGCCAAAAAGCAAAGGTTAAGGCCAGCCTTTCTCTCATATAAACTATGACACCTAATGGGTTATAAAGCTTATACTATATCTTTAGACACAAATGCACATGGGGCAAACTACTTTTTCCATATATTCTATCCTGAGTGCTGAATCTTCAATTTTTTTCTTCTTTCTTTTCAATTATCTCCAAAAACACACCTTAAAAAGAATCTATTGAAACATTTAACTGTGGTGTCTATTTTAACGAGGAAGTTTTAGGAAAAGGATAAAGCGGAATTGAGAAAAGTAAGTATATAATTGAGCAAAGTAATTCCCTTCTGGTTCATGTGAAAAGAAAATATTAACCTGGATTGAAATATTAACATGAGAGAGAATGAAAGGGTTATCACTGAGAAAACAGAGCTCAAAATGTCTGCAGAATGGCTAAAGAGAAATAAAAAATTCTCATGGAAGCATTGGCACCTTATAAGGTACATGAGTAAAACTTTCAGTACTTTATAAATATTCAACTAGCCCAGAAAGATTCCAGAGTTAGCAATCTTTCCCTGGCACAGATACACCAATAGATCTGCAAATGTTGTGACCACTCTGATTCCAGTCAGTCCTTGCTTATCTCCAAAGAATGAAGAGCTACACGCCCCCTCTTAGTTTCGCAATTAGTCAACCATGGTTGTCTTCATGGAGCATTTAATTAGTTCCAAACTGAACCCATTTCTATGGCTTTCAAAATATATTGAGCACCAAAATAAGGTTGTCTCTGTTTTTAACCCACTTTTAGTTTCTAGTTCATATTATATAGTGGAATAAGTAGAAGATAAGGTAAGCCCTCTCTATTGCTTAAATGTCACTTCCAGTGACATTGAAGCTATCACTTAAAGAGAAAATATTTTCTTTGTATATATTGAGTCATCATAGCTGAAGGCTAGTAGGATTAGACGGTTTATACTTCTATTAATAGTCCTAAAATTCTCCTTTATCTTATCAATGCTTTGTAGAAAGAGCTGACAGAGGTTAAAGCATCTACATGGCTCCAGGCTGCTGAAACACCACATCCCATTTTATAATCTTGTCTTTCTATCAAGCAACCTCTTATAGCTAAGTTGTCAGGAGGTGCTGAACTCACCGAAATGTGAATGGCCACCATGATGAAGAGGGAGAGGACAGAAAGGTAGATCTGCAGTCTCTTCCCACCGAACCTCTTCCTGAGATACTCTGGCATGGTCAACACCTGCAGAGACACACATCAACAGGAATTCTCCTCAGAGTCTACATCTGCTATACACCTATGGACAATTAAGAACCTTGCATTAGGTATGTGGGAAAAACCAAATAAGAAAGGCATAGCTTCATGATAGAGTTACAGGCTGAAATGACCATACAGACTTCAGGCAGACAATTTTACGATTTCTTCCTAACATTTATTACAAGTTGTGACCTTTGACAAATAGTTTTATATCTCTTTTCCTTGCCTGCCAAGTGAGCCTACCTCCCTACCTTCCTTACGCCAGTCTAACAATTCCTGGACTCACAAACTTCTGGCTTGTCATTCCTGAGTTCTGGGCTTGTAGGTCTATATTACCATGTTCTGCCTTAGTATGGGTTTATTGTCCATGTAGACATTAAGTACCTACAACTCCAAATGACTTATAGATATACATTTATATTGTTTTTACTGATAATGTTGCAACATTTAAGAGCAACATTACTTGTAAGTAAGCAACCATCATTAAGTGTTGTGCTGGCTACTTTTATGTTGACTTGATACAACTTAGAGTCATTTGGGAAGAGGGACAGCCTCAACCAAGAAAGTGCTTCCACCAACCACATTGCCCTGTAGGCAAGCCTGAGTACATTTTCTTAATTAATTAATGATGTGGATGTGTCCACCCCACCACGGGCTCTGCCACTCCTGGGTCTGTGGTCCTGGATGATAGAAACAAGAAGGCTGGAGAAAACCATGGTGAGCAAGCAAGTAAGCAGCACTCCTCCATGGCCTCTGCTTCATTTCCTGCCTTCGGGTTCCTGCCTTCCTTCAATGATGTGTGTGCTATGGACCTGTGGGTGAAATTAACACTTTCCTCCCCATGTTACTTACGGCAATGGTGTTTTGTCACAGCAACCCTAACTAAGAATATCCCCAGAGTCTCCAATAAGACTTTGGACTTTTGAGCTGCTTCTAAAAATGACCGCAGACTTTAGAACTACTGCTATAGAATAAGCATGTTTTGTATTATGAGAAAGACACGCTCTTTGCAGACCACACATAGAATTACATGACTTCATTTTTTTCCACCAAGGTTCTCAGGAAGTTGAGCTTCGGTGCCTCACATGACAATGTTGGGACTGGGCTATCTGTATGAGGCAGAGCGTAGCGGGAAGATAGATAACAAGAGCTCCACCATCACAGGTGGGTTATGTTATTCTCATAGGAATGACTGAGGTCTTCAGAGATGGATGGTCATAAAGCAAGGATGACGTCCATGCTTGACTTCTCCCTCAGGGAACCATTTCCTTCTCCATTTCTGTTTTGATACAGAAGTGGCTAAAGCATTTTGGGTACAATGATGATTAACCTCCATGACTGTGATCTAAATGTCACTTTTCTTTATAAAGGACTCTCCTTCTGGCTTTTTGATAGGTACACGAAATTGACTAAGATATATTCAAAAGGCACCAGACACCCATTTTTAAATTGAGTCAGTTTTCCCCTGTTAACCCATCACTTGCCTCCTCTCTGTAATTTCTCGCCCCACTAATGGAGGCTACACACTGCCTGAACAGGAAGCATCAAGTCTTCAAATTGTTCCTATGCTTCTCTCTTCAGCCCCTTACTTTTAAAATCTGGTATCAAGTGTGTTACCTTTATCCCAGGAGATTCTATCTTTCCTTTTTTCCCCCTTCCTATAAAATCATGAAATATGATGTCTGTCTTTTTTCAAGGTGTCTACAATAGGCCTATTGCTCTTGCAACTTGTCCTCTCAACTGATTTGAGTAGTGCTTCCTAAAATATCAATCTGGTCACAAACCTTGAGTTTCTGAAAGCCTGGGCTGGCCACTTCCCAAGGGAGAGAATATATGGCTATTACAATTGCACATCTCCTTCCCTCCCCCACCCATGCAGACCCATTTCTATCTCCTGCAACTTCCAGCATATGCTCTCTGTCTTTCAGCTGACCTCGAGATAACAGAAGGCCTCTCATGATGTTTAGCTTCTGTGTGGTTTCTCTACCACTCTTGGGTCTGATTTTTTTCCTGCCTCCAAAGGTGATGGCCCTCAAGATAATGCCAGGTCATTTCTGATTCCTTCTAATGAGCTTCCCTTAAAACACATGAAAGGGCCTAGATTCAGGTTCCTGTTCCAGGTAAAGAGAAGCACAGTGGCTATTACACAGAGCCTTATAGATTTCTTGCCCATCTGTGGCCACATCCTGCACTGAGCCCTTCCAGGGAAGGGATGGGGGCTTTGTCACCTGCATATTCTTAGCAGTAGGCCATGAGAAGTTTGAGTATTGAGTTTCGATACAAAGACGTTAGTGAAGAAAACCAATTTGACAGCTGATTTGTAGGCCTCTGAATACTCACCCCTGCCTTGATGTAGATGGGGACAAACACCCACCCAAGAACCAGCACCATAAGCAGGGCCTGTAAGAGATCGAGGAGAGAAACTAAAGTTAAAGAGGTATTGCTTGTGAGACATAATTTATATTATGAGAAAGACATGCTCTTCAGAGACCACGGACAGAGTTCTATGACTTGATTTGTTCCTCAAAGGTTTCAAAAGGTTCAGTTTTGGTGCCTCACATGATGGTGTTAGGACTCATTGAAACCACACAGAAGCAAAACATCATGAGAGAACTTGCATTATCTGGAGGTCAGGTAAAAGAGAGAAACATAGACCATGGAGTACAAAAACTGCAGCAAAAACCCATTTTGTTAAATCTTGTCCCACTGAAACAGTTGAGATCATTGGACAATTATCATGTCCTTTCCTCTGAGTTTATGACCCAGAGGCCAATACTTTCTCAGACATAGGCATGACCCAAGATGTGAGACAAAAGACAATCAGAAAACAAACATGCCTGACTGGGCCTACTTTGACCACTGGAAAAGCATCAAATTTTCATCAGAAAATATTGGCCTTGGATGGCAGGCAGTGACCATGTGATTCTTGAATGGATGAAGCAATCAAAAGGAAATTTCAAGCTTTATGAAGATTCTTCATGGGTTAATCATAACTTCCCAGACAAAACAATAGCCAAGACACAACCAAACATTAACACATATGTTTGCAGGTTCTTGATGGGTGTGACTGTGTTGCTTCCACAGCAAGTGATGATGGCTACTTTAGGCAGTTTTCCTTATCTTTAGAGGTGGAAATGATACCTCATAGAGGTTAGGCAAGCACAGTGACACATGCCAGGCTAAAAGGGAATAGCTGAGTAGCAGCCTAAGAGTCACACCCAAGGGAGCCATCTGAACGTGACTCTAGAGGCAAAGTCTATGGTGCTATCAGAATCAAACTCTGGCCAAAGGGCACATCTGGAGGCTGGGTATATACACTGGAAGCTCTCATGCTAGTGATATAAAATGAGAAGAAATATATAAGGGAAGAGCAAAGGTATTTGTGATGATCCTTAATCATTCCTAAGTCCACCCAGGGATTGTCTGTCTAAACTCTGACCACGGTCTGACATTATTCTACACTTGTGTCTTCCGCTCATCTGTAGTGCCTGTATGCATACACACTACATGAGAAAATGCTGGGTGGTGGGGAGAGACACGATCAAGTTCCTGTAGCATGTGCCAGGTCCTCTCCACTATCTATGGGTCCCCCACTAAAGAATCCCTAGAACAATATGCACAATTTTCTTCCAGTGTATTCTACACTAGTGAGTTTATCTACAAGCTTCTTACAAGGGGTAACCACTTATTTTGTATTTTATATAATTGATGGCTAGGAATATAGGTTCTAGGAAGGAGAGCTAATATTGAGATTACAATTGATCAACGTGGAAATGATAGAGAACATTGGGTCTTAGAGACCATGGTTTTGTCAGGGGTAACTTCAGAAGAATGGTCACAGGGAAGTAATGATGTGGTCAACGGTTTAGGGATATTTAAGGGAAAAGGAGGACTAACATAAAGAAAAGCAGAAAGAAAATCAAAGAGGAGTACATCCTATACACACCTTTCAGAATATCTGGAATATGAGTTTGATTGAAATAACTTGATATGGTCTTTGTTTAAAGGAAAACCTTTTGGCACCGCTTACATTCCATTCCACGGCCGCAATAGCGATTCCTGAAGCTGCTGCTGTTCCAGCCAAGCCCACGAAGTGGTTACTGCCAATGTTACTGGCGAAGAGAGAGGCGCCCATCTGAAATGCAATCACAGATTGTGGCTTATTGAAAAAGTAGACTTATTGACAATAGATAGAAATTGGTGCTTTGTATCCCAATATGTGGTCTATTTTGGAGAAAGTCCCATGAGCTGCTTAGAAGAATGAAGATTCTTTATTGTTTGGGTGGAATGTCTAGAGATATTGCATCCAATGAATTTTGATGTTGGCCTATTGGTGTGAGTGCATTCTTGCATGACATAGAACAAGTCTAATCCTTCTTCAACATGACTGCCTGAAGAACGTTACTGAGTAACTACCTTTAAAAATGACGAGAGTGGTCACATTTTGGAACATAATCATGCTTAATGATTTTACTAATGATCGTGTTGCAATGGCAGGGTTGTGTTGTTGAATATTATGCAGCATACACAGTCTAATCAATGCACTTACAATTTTGCTCATCAGACAAGCTTATTGAACCCTTCCTTAAGGGCACTTTGACTACTCGGTAGTCTGTGAAACGAGCCTGTCTTCGGACAAAGCTGCTAGTACTCTTTATCAGATTTTGCAACTTAATCAGTCTTAAGGACTTCATACTCTAGAATGAGGGGCTTCTTTGCCAACCTTTATCATAGACCATTCTTTCCCTTTATCTCCCTCTATGTAGTTCTGTCTTCTGTTCTTAAGACTCAAAAGTCAAGAGAGGTCTTATCCATTACAGAAAACCACAACTGATCAAAACACAGAGTTGTAGAGCCCAGGACCAACTCATCCATCTACAGCACAACAGTTGCAGCTGAGACTTGGGGATCCATGCTGAAGAAGGGTTGGAAAGATTGTAAAAGCCAGAGGAAGAGGATGTTTTCTATGACTATATATCTCCTAGAAATGTCAGAGAAGCTATGCTTATGGAATCTTATCAATATGGCATCCTGAACATGGCCTGAAGAAGGGCAACACCAGTAGACATGGTATTGTGGATGGAAAAAACCTCATGAGGACTCAAACCTGGATGAAGAACTACAGGCAACTAAGGGATGCTGAGATCTGGAGACAGAGTCCTCCCCAATGAAAACCATGCAATTGGTCATCCAATTACAACCAACCAACTCTGAACGCACACGTATGTGTAACATTCCATAGACTGAGCAGGTTTGATTAATGTATTTAAGATTGTGTGCACACAGGCACGCACCCCATTCATCCCCAGCAATCTCTGGCCCACTTACCGGCCACCAGGCCATGTCACGACCAGCCAGGAAGAAGCCTCCAACAGTGCCTCTGTTGCTTCTCACCATTGCCTGAGGAAGAAGGAAGAAAAGAAGGGGGTTAAAGAGCAACAGGTGCACCTCAGACCCCAGACACACCGGTCAAGGTGTGAGCAGTAGACACAATCTCCAAGAAGTGCTGCATGGATCGATTTTCAACAGAGTTCAAGAACCAGGAGGAGTTTAAGACACCATCTTCTCTGAAAAGCCGATGTTTGCTGTCAGCCATGGAAATAATAAGAAATGTGCTGTCATGTGTTGTGTGACAATTTGCAGCACAGAATTCGATACTGAAAACAAATGGAGAGACAAATAATTTAAATGGCCAACTCACCAAGTCAGAAACTCAAACAATAAATGGAAATAAAGAAAATGAGATAATATGTTTTTCCCTCTCTTTGCCAGATGGAGGAGATGCAAACAGACTGTATCTCTTATTCCCGGCCCTCCCTCTCTTCAAACAACTAAGTGTGTTGTCTTAGAAATGAGCCCACTTGGCACTACTACCAGAAGACGATCCAGACAGAAAGACAATGACGTTAGTAACAACCTATCACCGTCTCACTTTATCATGACACACCTCTTCCACCCTAAGACACTGTCCCTCAAGCCCAGTGCCCACCCGGAAACTGGTGTGGTTCTCTCATACCCACAGCCCCACAGCTAGCACCGCTGCAAAGTAGATGACAATGACAGAGATGTCCGCAGCATTCCGAATGCGCTCTGACAATACAGGAGGCTCCTCAGTCTGAGGCGTGGTGCTGGGACTCAATGTGGTAGCCATGGCTTCAGGAGGCTCTGCTCCCTTCCTAAGGATGCCCTCTCCTGTCTTTATGTAGGCACTGGATTAATGATCAACCCCCAGGCAAGTGGAGCAAGGTGTCAGGGCAGATCTTGGATGCATGGACCTTAAACCTCTGCTCTGTGTTCAAGCTCTGGGACCTTGGCCCTTCGTTCGTCCTGTTCTTGGTAGTGTGTAAGAGTAAGGGATAGACATCAAAAATGGGGTGCAAACTGGAATTGATGTGCAGAGTGTTCACTGATGGGAAAGGCAGCACACTCAAGACTGGACAGGTTCAGCTGCAGACTAGGAAGAGAGTAAGGAAGTGAGGGGAAGACACAAAGGGCAGAACAGAGTGAGCACTGGGCAAAGGCTCCTTATAAAACATACAGTGTTCTCTATGGCAAAAAAGTTATCTCTTGAAAATAAGGGTAATTCTTTATTTATTTCAAGATATTCAATGTACTATATAACTCTGGGACTTATAATTTGGATGAAATTTATATGATAGTTCAAGACCATGGTGTTGTGGTATTCTGACCAAAGAAATGGGATTTCAATGCTTTTTCCAGGAGCACCTTTGATGTACAGTGACATATTCATTGGTCAGATCCCACACTCAAAAAAACCAGAGGACTCGTAGGCTGTAATCTGGCTTTTTAACTGTGATTTTTGCTACTTTGCCTTTCATACATGATAACTTATAATTTCATTAGTTATTCTTCTATATATTGACTTATTTTTTTAATTTATTTATTGTATGTATGCCTATGAGTACACAGTCATTGACTTCAGACACACCAGAAGAGGGCATTTGATCCCAATGGTTGTGAGCCACTATGTGGTTGCTGGGAGTTGAACTCAGGACCTCTGGAAGAGCAGTCAGTGCTCTTAACCACTGAGCAATCTCTCCAGCTCTCATTAGTAATTTTTAAACCCCAGTGTGTGATTCTAAAAAAATAAAAATAAAAAAAATAAAAGTCCTGGATATGGAGGAAGAGAGGGCTATTGGGCAATCTAGCAAGATCTCACATAAGCATTTTGGCAGAGACCAAGTCACACGGCAACTGCTTTTCCTTCTTTCAAGGTATCTGGAAAGTCTTACTAAACAAGCTGGAGGAGGAAAAGATGGTGTAGAGTTTATGGACATTGTTCAGTTAGTGTGGCTGTTTTCTGGTTTTTCTTTTCCTTTGCTGTTCAAGAAGCTCCAACGGAGTCCTTTCTTCAGTGGTCCAAGAACATCATCCTGACTTGGGGGCTGTTGTTTTTGCAGCATCTTCACATGAGTATTTTGTTTCAACAGAGGCCTCAATAAGGCTGAACACAGACCTCTTGACACAGAGAACCACACGGGGAAGAATCAAACAAGTCCCTGAAGTTAAAAGCAGGACAATTTTCAGAATCTTGAATCTTCCACAAGTTGAAAAACATCCTCCAAATGATCTAGCTGGGCTCTAACCATTCCAAGCCTGAATGGGTTCATCCAAAACTTTTTTAAAATTTTGTCTACCATGTATTCTATATCCTTTCTTAAATTATTGTGAGCAATTGTCGTTCAAGTTTAATTGATAGATATGTGTAGCCACCTGCGGCCACGAGTCGAACGGGTTCACTTGAAAAGAGGGCTGGGAACGAAAGAGGATGGAGGGTGAGAAGAAATGAAGCCAAGACAAAGTTCTCTGATCAAGGCTCGATGGTTTAATGTTAAGCTTTCGATTTAAAGGGGAAGACCCCACCCGAACCCTTCCTAGTTTCAGCAGGGGAGTTTCGTGGGATAATCTGTTCTTGGTCACGAGTCACAGCCGGATGTCTCAAAGCAAGCCCAGGGGTAGTTCTTCTTTCAAGTTCCTGTAGCAGGATGTATGTGCAGCCAAGGTGGGTGACTCCACCTAGGTGTCTACTGACATGCAGCCAAGGTGGCTAGTTCCACCTAGGTCCTATTATTTGGTCTGTTGTGCTAACCAAAGTCTCTCAGGCCTGCTCAAGGCTGGGGAAGGGCACAGATATGCAGGCATCAGAAGATGATATTGGTTGTCTGGGTTAATGATATAAGTCAAGGAAATAAGACTCCTCTCCTATAAGAGCTCAGGACTTCTATTCATTTTTCAAAACAGAGTTGTTGGACATGTGTGTGTGTGTGTGTGTGTGTGTGTGTGTGTGTTTGTAGTTGACTACATATATTGAATACATATGGCTGAATATATTCAAAGCATATATACATAAATCATACATGTGTACATACATACATAGCTACGCACACACACATACACATATACACACAGGATTGTCTCTTCAACGAGACATATAACTTACTTTTCCATCCATGAGTCTGGGAATAAAGGTGGCTAATAACCTGGTGATCTGATAGCCAGATCATAGCAAACTCCCACGAGCAGGACTGGAGATGGTTAATGGTCTAGATAACTTTTGCATTATCTGTACAGCCAGGGGCTCCCCCAAGATCCCAAACCAGTACAGAGATGGCTAAGAGCCCAAGTGACCTCCACTATCAGCGTGACTGAGACCACACCAGATCATCCCATGTGCCCTTAAGACAAGGCATGTAGCCCATCTCTAGAACCCGTCTTCATGAAAGAAGTAACATGTACTTTGAGAAGTGTTCATGTTCAGTGTAGTTATGCCTCCTTGTTCAAGGGGGATTGTGTTACATCAGGAAACTTTCCCCAAAGTTTTACTTTACTTAAATACATCTAAAATAAGCTACCCAGGGTCACACTCTAGAAATTTCTACCAACACATTCTACCGAATCGTGTTGAACTGGATTTTCTTTTTGCCACATGTGGATCATCACTCTGTTGGCCCTGGCATTTGAAGAGACCCCTACATACATAGATAGATGTATATAAAGTATACATATGACATATAGAAACCCTTCCCTAGCCATAGCAAGGAGTGTGGTGACATCCACCAACTAACAGAGTGAAGGTAGACAACCTGTGAAATCACAAGAGGGGACCAATCGGTAGTGACATACAAAAGTTACACTTCCTAGCCAAAAAAATATATAGAAGCATACTAAAGGAAACCTTTTTTTTTTTTCCGAGACAGGGTTTCTCTGTGTAGCCCTGGGTATCCTGGAACTCACTCTGTAGACCAGGCTGGCCTCGAACTCAGAAATCCATCTGCCTCTGCCTCCCAAGTGCTGGGATTAAAGGCATGAGCCAATACTACCCAGCTAGGGAAACCTTTTATCACAAGTGCCAACAGCAGGGAGCAATCTCTGACAGTGTCATGGTAAGGGAAGCATCCAGGCAGACAAGGTGATGGAGGAGCTGAAAGTTCTAGATCTTGTTCTGAAGACAGCTAGGAAAAGACTGTTTTCAGGCAGCTTGGAGGAGGCCACAGTAAGAGATGAAGGCAAGTGGAGACAGTGCATTGGAATGGGAGGATTAATAAGAAATAGTTCATGTAGTGGACTGAATAGGTTTGATCCCCATAGATTCACGGGTTTCAGTAATTGACCTTAGGGACTATTAGGCACTATTAGGAGGTATGGCCTTCTTGGGGTAGGCGTGGCCTTGTTGGAGGAAGTATGCCACTGTGTAGGTGGGCTTTTAGGTCCCATGCTCAACCTCCACACGCCATACCTAGAGTGGATTCAAAAACCCTTGGATGCCTTTGGATCAAGATGTAGAACTCTCAGCTCCTCCAGCACCTCGTCTGCCTGCATCCTGCCGTGCTTCCCTCCATGATGATACTGGACTGAACCTCTGAAACTGTAAGCCAGCCCAGATGAAATGTTTTCCTTTATAAGAGTTGCCTTGGTCATGTGGTCTCTTCACAGCCATGAAACCCTAACTAAGACAGTTTAGTTACTCAATAGGAGGTTGATGTAAGCTGATGCAGTCTGTGTTCCCAGAGTTTCTAGGGAAAGGATGTAGAAGTCTTCCTCATCCACTTTGAGTCCTCAAAGACATCTAATGGGTTGAGTCTTTCTTTAGTGTCATTTGATGTCTAGCCATCTGTGGTGGTTTGAATATGCTTGGCCCAGAAAGTGGCACTATCAGGAAGTGTGGCCTTGTTGGAGGAAGTGCATCATTGTGGGGGTGGGCTTTGAGACCCTCCTAGGTACCTGAAAACAGTCTGCTCCTGTTTCCTTCAGATGAAGACGTAGAACTCTCAGCTCCTCTAGCACCATATCTGCAGGGATGCTGCTGTGCTTCTTGCCTTGATAATGGACTGAACCTCTATACTTGTAAGCCAGCTCCAATTAAATGTCCTTTATAATAGTTCTTGGTTGTGGTGTTTCTTCACAGCATTGGAAACCCTAACTAAGATACCATCCCTGAGGAAGACCTAATGTAGCCACAGAAGATTTAAAAGCTCTGTTCTAAGTTTTTCATTCTATATTTACTTCTTCCCCACCTGGGACTTGAACCCTTGTCTTTCTTTCATGACTGTCTCACAAAACTAGATGTTTGTCTCTGCTAACAGTGTGAAAAACATTATATATATATTTATGTACTTGTATATGTGTGTATATATAATGTATATGATATATATGTGTGGCATATATGGATATGCATGGATTGTATATGATGTGTATATGTATGTTGATATTGATGTATATAATGTATATGTGTATATGATGTATATGTGATATATATGATGTATATGTGTATGTTGATGTTGATGTATATAATGTATATGTGTATATGTATA